AATCCTTTGTACTATTAAAATTTCTTTATCACTTATCCTTCAACTTAATTTTTCATCCAAAAATAACGGAATTAATCTTTTTTTGAAAAATACCTCAATTACCCTTAAAATAAAACAAAAAATACAACGTAGAGGAACTCTTGATGTCTCGTGGCTGCGACTTGCATCACCTTATCTTCATCTGATGCGTCGTAGCCTTCTTCTTTATCTCTATAGAGTAAGAGAGAGAACGCAAAGCATAGCACTACACAACAACTCCGAAATAGGAGGAGGAGAAAAATTTGTAAGCATTGTTGTGTTGGATTTCATAGATCTGGGTGTATCTTTCTTTGTCTAAAACTTGTGGTTATGTGATTTCTTTCCTTTGTGTTTGTGATTTTAAAGACCCTTTTGCCTTCTTTCTCTCCAAACGCAAACTCTCGCACAACATAACCCATTCTTTACGGTGAATTGGATCTTTTTCGTAATCAACACTTATTTTGAATTTTGTGTATTTTTGTGTGTGTGTGTGGTGAATCAATAGTTATTTTCAAGTTGAAATTTTTCCCGATTACTCTTTTTAATAGTTAATGGAATGAAATTTTTTGAGTGAAAACAAATTTTGAACTTTCACATGTGTAGGTTGTAAATCTTTATACAAATACCCACAAAGTTAGCTTCTTCTTTATTGTTTTTTTACGGGTAGTTTTTGTATTTTTTAAGAAAATTAACTTTGTTAACTTTAGTTTTGGATTGAAAATCAAATTTAGAGGATAAGTGATAAGGAAATTTTAGGTAAGAGTGTAAATAATTAAAAATCTCGAGAAATGGATAAGTGATTTTGAGAAAAAATTACGGGGATATTTTTAAAGTTTTACCAAATATTTAAGTATGAGTAATATTAAATATGTTTATTGTGATTTTTCCCTTCGAAGTTTATTTTCTTTTGGTCCCTTAGGGGTTGATTGGTATGCGAATTTTGCTTGAAATTCTGGGAAAATGGGGTGAGGGATTTTTTTTCCCATTATTTCATTTTTAACTACAGATTCTCAAATGAAAATACCATCTCACACATGGTATTTTTTTTCGCACGGTTTGGGAAAGGAAAAAATCGGTTGTCAGACGAAAATGCCCTGGAATACAATATGAGTTGTGTGAAAAAATCTTGCACGTAAACACTTCTTCGTGTGCTCTAACTCGATTTGTTCTTCGTCTTCTCCATTTCCATTTCCTAATACTTGGTTGCTTGTGGATCTGGGTGTTCGCGGTCTTGATTGGATTGATTTTGGAAGTAAAAATTATCCGATCCAATCCCTTCGGTTTAATCATATCATCATCCATTCGATTTGAATTTTTTTTCAAATCCGATCCGATCCAATTTTGTTCGGTTTGGATTGGATCGGTTTTTGATTTTTTGAAAAGTCTAAGATTTGTATGATAATTATTTGACAAATAACATATCTTTTATATGCATCGGCTTTGTAAAGTTTGTATGATGATTATTCTGCAATCTAGAAACATTGTACAACAAAAAGTTAAATTATCATCTTTTATTTCCAACAAAAAAAGTAACTCAAATTTTCATCATATAGAAGAGATGATGTACAACAATAACCTATATAATAAAAATATATTATGTATCTTACCAAAAAATACATAACATAGATGAAGCATAACTCACTTTCTCCACCATGATGGGTTAATAGGTCTTGGATTTAAAATTTTGCTATATGATTTTTGGGCTATGATTGAGGAATGACACAAGTACGTAACTGGTAAGATTGAGGAATAATTGGATCGGTTTGGATTGATTCGGTTTTCACCAAGCCATCCAAAAACCGATCCAATCCAATTAAATTTTGCGGTTTTTTGTTTTTCAATTTTTCAGTTAATTCAATTTTTGATTTTTTCATTTTTTCGGTTCAATCATCGCAGTTTGAATCGATTGATGAAGACCCTTAATCTATGAGCACCTCAAAGGATGAGAAAGGGATGGGTTTGTTGCTTGGTGATGGCATGCAATTGCAGCACTCTTCTTATCAACATATGGAAGACTCCTTGTCTGCGATTTTCGATAAGGCACAATCTAGTTCTATTATGAAATCTCGTGTCTCTTCGAGTTCAAAGCAGAAAAGATGGAGTCGGAATGTGGAGGATGGGTTAAGCCGGTGGTGGACACTGGGGTACAATTCGAGTTCGGGTAAAAAAATTATGTGTTTTTTTTTTTTTTTTTTAATTTTACATAATTCATATCATAATATTATATTAAATATAGAGCACTTGAGAGGTAGCACCAATAAGAGTTATAATTTTATTAAGTATTTTTTGTTTTATCTAATTGAAAATTGAACACATAACTTAATATAACTTATCCAAATTTTTCACAAAAAATATTTTAAATTTTAGATAGGATCAAATTATAAATTGTAGCCCGAACCAAATTACAATTTTAATCTAAACCAAATTATAATTAATTATATATAATAAATACAATTTATTAAAATTTAGTTCGGAGTGAAATCACACCCACTTTATATGTGGCTACGCGGCTGGGTTAAGCCCTAGCTCCAAAAAGTTTTTCAGAAATAGTAAATTCTGTGGTCGAAAGTAGATCTAGATCTGATTCTGCCTCAATATCGGTTGGGAGAAATCTGAAGCCTGCTGATGCTTTTTCCCAAGCATCTGTAGTGGATAATCAAGTGTGGTCATGACTGTTAATTGATCACTCTCACTCAATCAACGTCTGCAATGGAGATAGGCAGCAATTATCTTGTGTACAAGTTGAAGATATTTGTTGTGCTTCTGACCATGGAGAGATGTGATGGGAAATGAAGAAAAAAAAAACAAAAACGAACACGGAGAGAGACAGACATAGCTTAGATAAAATGAGCGTTACATGACACAGAACAAAAACGAACACCTGCCTATTTTTATAATGGGTAAAACTACAAAACAATAGATGGACCCACGTGTTTTTAAAAATAAAAGAAAGCACAGAAATCGATACATCAGGTGGACAAAATTTTGATTTTTCGGTAACAGGACGGATGTTTAACCCTTTTATAATTTTACGATGCTTGCTTTAATCTCTAACAAATAAATAGGTCCATCATGGTCCCTAAGAAATTAAAAATAGACTCATTTAGTTAAAATCGTGGTCTTCACAAATTCAAAAGAGGCTCATATTAGCCCTCAAAAGGACTAAAATTGGTCTATTTTGAATTTCTTAGGGACCACGATGGACCTTTTTATTTGCTAGGGACTAAAGTGGATATCGTAAAATATGTTCAGGACCAAAAAAGATATTACTTTTTATAATTTTAGTTCATATTTTCACAAATATTTTACAATCAATCAAACAGTATTAGAAAAAAAAATCACATTCATGCAAAAATTTTGATCTGCCAAACAAATTTTCCGTATCATTACCGGGAAAAAAAAATTTCATCATATTTTCGAGTAAAAAAAAATTCTCTTCTACCAAACGCTCGTTTATAATATTTGTTATACAAATCAGAAAAATATTAAAGCAAGTCTTATATCTTTGCAGTGCTCGGATCGAAACCACCATCATGGTAAAGCTATAGTTAAGACATAAGAGGTATTCTAAAATACCTTTTATTTCAATGAACTTTTTCTAGGGTTATCGTTTTTTTTTAAATGTTAAATAATAACATAACACTCGTTAACTTGCAAAGGAAAAGATCAGAAAAATAAATAAATAATAGTCGACAATTATTAGAAAAAGGAGGCTCATTGACCAATCAGGTGAATTTTTTTTTTACCAAATAATAAGAAGATTTCATTTACTTGCACCTCAGCGTCATCATTAATTTTTACAGGTGATGGTTTATAAGAAAGTGGTCTTAAAACTGGACAAATAAGATTCCTCTATATATAAAACATTTTCAATAAGTCTTTACAGTTTAACCAAGTTTTTAATTAAAAGCATTAAAATAACATGAGGTGTCTAATATTTTTGACATGAGAGGGCTTTTTAGGTCAAAAAAAAAAAACCCTATCACAGTACTGGTTAAAAGATAAGGAGGCTATTTACCAAAAAAAGAAGATAACGAGACTAGAGCCTGTTTGGATCCTCTTATTTTTAAGCTAGAAGCTACTTATAAGCTAAAACTAAAAAAAAGAGCTTAAAAAGAAAAAGCTAAAAACTGTTTGAAAATCACATAAAAATTTTAGCTTAAAAATTACTTAAAAACACATATTTTAAGAAAATTATCTCTCTCTATCTTTACCACTCTTCATTTAAAAAAAAAAACACACAATTCAAGAAAAACAGATAAGAGCTTAAAAAAAAGCTCCTCCTAGAAGCTTTCAGTTTTCAGTTTTTTTCTTCGTTATAAAAAAAAGAGCTTTGCGTTATAAGAGTTTTTCCTAAAACTTGTTTGGCATAACTTATACTTATAAGTAGTTTCTAGCTTAAAAAAGAGAGAATCCAAACACACACTTAATACTTGTGGTCCAATTTAAGGTTAATTGATGGAAAGACAAATCAGCAACCTCTAAATGAGCCCTAATAGATAATGAAATGACCAACTCCACCTTTTGAAAAGAAAAGCAACAACTACAAATAGCAACATAATCACAATATTAAAATAACGTGAAAATAAAATCAATACGGAGAGCATTTAGCCCTTGTGTACAAAAATATAAAATAATACTTCTAGTACTAAGGGCTGTTGTTTTCTCGAGTGGCTTGTTGGTTTGGTGTCGTTCTTACCATCCACATGTTCTCGGTTCGAAACCAACAAAAAACAAAGGGTTTTATTTTTCTTATGTTGCATGAAACAAATTGCAACACATCAAAAGTGGGTGAGACCCACTAAAAAGGAAGAAATAATACATTCAAAGTCAAATTTAGATTTCTAAATTTTTATTTGGTTTTTATGATTTTAAGAACTTAAATATGACCAAGTTGGGAATTAAAGTGTGAGTAAGAGAGAGTTAATCATTTGCACAATCTAAAGAGTACCTTATTCGATCTTCAGATGATAACTCTATCTTAATTATTAAAACAAAATCAGATACATGGTTGTGTTCAGAGAACCATACGTTTGAAATTAAAAAGAAAACACTAACATGCTTTCCTTGTTCCTCAAAGTCTTTTGTAATAGAAATGGGACAATTCAAGTTGTCACTTGAGGAACATTGGCCAATGAAGCTTTCAACTTGTCCTCTGAGAATAAAAGGTCAACCATAGTACCTTGCAAATACTTCTCATAAGCTGGCAGATCAAAATGGCCATGTCCACACATTGCTGTCAGAATAACCTTGGCCTCTCCTGTCTCTCTACAATGAAGAGCTTCCCTAATGGTTGCAGCTATGGCATGAGTTGGTTCAGGAGCTGGTATCAACCCTTCAGACCTTGCAAACTGTATCGCACCTGTAACCATCAACATCACTTTTATGTCGAACTAATTAAGTTCGACCAATGAAGTCAAATAAAAAGCAAAAGAAGATAGAGAAAAAAAGAAACCACTCTCCATTAAGTCCCTACTAGCGAGGGTGAGGTGGCTTTTATACAAGTTCCCGGATTCGAATCCGTGACCTTTTCAGTCACAAAGGAGTAACTTTTTCAGTAATCATGCTTGCCCTCTTTTTGTGAAATAAGAGAGAAGAAAAAAATGCATGATTGTATCCAAACTTGCTTATTGTTATGAATCATAGGAAAATGTGAATTACCATGAAAACATTCATTTTGTGGAATTGCAATTGCTTCCATTAAACCCAACTCATAAACATGTGAGATCAATGGTGCCATACCATGGTAACGCAAACCCCCTACAAGTAAGCAAAAATGTTAATATAAAACATACCACTAATAAATAAGAGATAGTGTACCGAAAAAGAAGAAGAGATAAACTCTCTCAGCATAACAATTAATTACCAGCATGAATTGGATCCGGAATAAAGTTATGCCCAAGTGTATGCATTTTCATCAATGGAGTCATCCCAGCTGTGTCACCATAATCATATATATATGCTCCTTTTGTTAATGAAGGACATGCTGCAGGTTCAACTGCTCTTATAACAGGGTTAATTTTCTTATTTAGTTTCTCTCTAAGGAATGGAAAACTAAGTCCTGCAAAGTTGGAGCCACCACCAGTACATCCTATGATGACATCTGGGGTTTCTCCAATAGCTTCCATTTGTTTGAGGCACTCTTCTCCTATAACACTTTGGTGGAGTAAAACATGATTGAGTACACTCCCTAGGCAGTACTTGGTATTAGGATTTTTTGCTGCAACTTCAACAGCTTCTGATATAGCAATGCCTAAACTCCCTGGGCTTGATGGATCCTTTTGAAGCATTCTCTGGCCTGCCTCAGTAATCATAGATGGAGATGGGTGTACCTTTGCACCCCATGTCTGCATCATCAATCTTCTATATGGTTTTGAATCATAAGAAGCACGAACTTGCCACACCTACACAAATTATTCAACTAAACATCATAGTTTCATGGCTTTTATAGCTTCAGAGCTAGAATAAAATCATATGCACAATTCTAATTATTGTCTTGAATTGATCAATCACTTGATGACTTATTTCAGAACACAAAATTACTTGGATGGAATTTCAACTAAATTTTTTCTAATTAGCTGTAAACAGACATGCATTATAACTTCTTAGTTTAGACACATAGTTAAATGTAAGAATAATAGCAAGAAGTTAGTAAAATTCAAGACATCTTTGATTGAGCAATGAGCAAATCCATTAGGTCAATTGGGTAAATTCTTCATGAATTTAATCTTCATAGTCCACTACCTCACAACCAAGGCCAAATATGCTGCATGCAAAGGCTAATGCACTTCCCCACTGTCCAGCACCAGTTTCTGTCACAACATTCTTGACACCTTCTTGTACATTATACCAGGCTTGTGGAACAGCAGAGTTAGGTTTGTGTGATCCAGCTGGGCTTACACCTTCATACTTGTAGTAAATTCTGGCAGGTGTGTCAAGAAGTTTTTCCAGTCTCTTGGCTCTAAATTCACCAGAGATATATAAGAATCTTCTAATTACAGTTCAAACTGACAAAAAATATGAAAATATACATATATAGGGAGAGGATCAACTTTCATCGGTAGTCTTATACTCAATCTTAGCCATCAGTCCACTTGTATCTAACGGCTCACATAACTAATAAATTCGAGCCATTAGATATAAGTGAGATCAACTACAAAGATCAAAAGTGTAACTTATACCCGTATAAAATAACTTAACGGTAGATAATCAAACCTAATGAGAGGGGTTGGGCGCCAAAGGCTGTAGACATCAAGAACTTCATGTGGTATGTTTATGAATCTGTCACTGGTGACTTCCTGTTTAATTAACTCATCAGGAAAAAGAGGTGACAAATCTTCTGCTTTGATTGGTTCATAAGTCTTAGGATGCAATGGTGGAGGTGGTTTAACTGGAAGATCTGCAATTATATTGTACCATTGGTGGGGAATTTCAATTGATTTACTCGCATCCAAAGTTGCTCTCACTGTGCAGGCATTTGAAAGCCTCACATGCATAGGCTTTACATTCAAGGCAAATCCCTGAGTCCATTGCTTTTCAACTGAAGTTAACCAACAAGAAAATGTGATAACCAAGCTATACTACTAAATTGAGGAAAGTAAAATCAGCAATGAGATATAAAAACAAAATCACAAAACCAATTTGGTTATACAACTTAACAATTAACTCATTTTATATGAAAAAGGCAATGAATTGATAAAAGATTTGCCTAAGTAAATTAATTAAAACCAAGAAATGTGTATAACTCAAACCAGCTCTAGAGTTATAATAATTCACCCTGATACCATATGATTTAAACCACTTTTAGAATCATGCTTAGGAGGTTCAACCCTTTGTCTTTGCCCTTCATGAAAATTTTTCATAGATATATATTTGGGAATATAATTATACATACCCTTTTTCATCTGTTTCTAGCACTGATTTAATTAAAACAGCTAATAATGAGACATAAAAAAAGAACAAGGAAAAATGGTCATTTAAGGGAAAGTACCTTTAAAGTGGAAGCAGGGTGAAGTCAGAAGTGGATTAACAGAGAAAATACAATGAGTAATCATTTTTGTCTTCTGTTTGGATCTTCAAAACATGGAAAGCTATTCCGAAAGAGTTGCAGAGTTTGTACCTTCCACGAAAATGCAGACTATGAATACTCCTTTGTAGTTTGTACTAAAAACAAAAAACTAGTTGGGAAGCCCTGGCTTTGACTTTTTTTTAGCTTATGTAATGTTTCTCTTTTTTTAGGTAAGATGAATAGAATTTTTAATTCTTTTTTTTCTGTCAGTAGCTATATGTTCAATTATTTAAATTTTGGGAAAAAAGTTTAAAAATTGTAATTTAAATATTTCAAGATAAGTTACGCCCAAATTAATGTACATCTAGGACTCAACTCTCTGAGTTTGCCACTTAACACTAAATCGAGTCTAAATTACATAGGTAATCTATGTTGCACCGATACTGACACGAGACACGACACGACATGCTGATATGTTAATTTTAAAAAATGTCATATTTCGATACGTTGAGACATATTTTGATATTAAATAATATTTTTAATATATATAATATAATTTATATTTAATACATATAACAACCCATAATAAGTCATATAACCAATCAAATATCTAAATTTTATAATATAAATATAAATCAAAATAATTTTTGCCTTGTTAATTTTTCATGTCAAATTTCATAATAGAAAAAAATTGATTTTTAAATTATTTTTTTATGTTTAGTTAATAAAATAAAATTAAGCTTTAAAAAAAAATATTGGATGCATGTCCGAGCGTTGATTGCGTGATGGAAAAAGTTGACCGCGTCTCTAAAAAATGTGTCGGAGCATTGATCACGTGTCCTAAAACATTGACCACCTGTCATAAAACATTGACCACGTGTCGGATGCGTGTCGAAACGTGTTGGAGTGTGTCGAATGTGGCGGAGCCAGAGAAAAAAGCTAGGTAGTGCGAAAAGATCCAGCCAATAGAATTAGATGGTGCCAAAGTTATATTGTTTTTAAAGATCCAACTAATATAAAGGCTGTATCAAATTTTTTTTTAAGAAAATCTATACCATTTTAAAAAATTAGGTGGTGCCTACCTTTCAAGTGGCTCCGCCACTGGTGTCGATGTCCGACACGTATTTTTTAAAAAATATCGCGTGTCCGTGCAATGGAGCAGTTGACCACCCTTAGTGTCACCTGACAAGTTTTGGTAAATTACGCTTAAATTAATTGTATTAGTTACGTAAAATATTGGAAAATGACATTAATTTTATAATTTAATATTTAAATTATAATATTTAAATTTTTTAGTTTTTAAATTTTGATCCGTACATTTGTATTTTTCAATTATTTAGATTTCATTCATTGTATTTATCTTAATTTTTAATATTTATTTCAATTTTAACTACCTGTAATTTTTATTCATAAAAGTAAAGGATTATTTTTTAGGAATAATGTTTTTTATAATTTAATTTATTAAAGTTTTGGTTTAGATCGAAACTTTAAATTAAGGATATAAAATTATAAAGACCTATACTCAAGCTTATAAGTGTCAAAACTCAAGTGAACAAAAATTATAAAAAGTAAAATTTACCTTAAACTTATATTTTAAATTTATTTACAAAAAATAACGTAAATTAAATTAAATTTCAATTTTATAATTTTATGAAATTTCATTAACTAGACTATATATTTTATAAAAACTTTTAAAACAATTATTAGAGTAGTGAAATTTAATATTTATAAAAGAAATAAGGTATAAATATAACAAAAGATATTTTTTAAAAATAATTTTATTTGCAGACATTAACGTTGTTGTTATTTTATATTTGTACAACTCTTATCATCCACTTATTAATTATTTCACTTAACTTTTTTATGCATTTGTGAAGCGCACTTGGCATTATTCAAATTTTTTTTTTGGACTATACCAGCATTCGAACATGGACCATTATGGTGTTGTCCTCCAAGGCTCCAACAAGCATCAACTACCATATTCACCATGAAAGCTAGAGGCAGTATTCACTTTAAAATAAGCAAGAGTTGTACTTGCTCACCTCAATATAGAGTATTAGGTCGATGCTCCTCGCTCGTTTGGACATCAACGTAAATATCTGAGTTCTTGGGAAGATAAAATCATTCAATGCTCCCTTGACTAAAAACTGATACTTATATGAATTTGTATTATGAAAAAGTGATTGTGTTGTATTGTTATTTGATTATAATTATGAGTTTTATAAGAGTTATGTTCGGAATAGTGGTTAAAGTGTTATTTTTGAAAAAAAAAAAATACCAAAATGCTACGTTAACAGTAAATTTTGCCAAAATGCCACGTGGCATATTTCGCTACACTGTGTAGCGAAATATGCCGCGTCAGAATGCACAGAACCAAAAATGCCACGTGTCAGACAGGGAGAATATCGCTACACTGTGTAGCAAAATTCTCAAATTCTCACAGTCTGACACGTGACATTTTTGGTTCTGACGTGGTATATTTCGCTACACAGTGTAGCGAAATATGCCACGTGGCATTTTGGTGTTTTTTTTTGCCAACAGTGGCACTTTGCCCACTGTCCCGTTATGTTGTAAAAAAAGTGATTGTGTAATGTTATAGAGATTCGTTTTGCATGCCGTAATTTTTTTTTTCTTCAAAAAGTGTGGGCCTCACAAAATATTGTGTGTAGAAAAGTTTGTTGTGTCATCTTAAAAATGACAAATGCAAACCCCTATAATTATTTATGATTAGGGTTATATTGATAATTTTTTTTATAAATTTATAAATTATATTAAGTCTGATCAGTAATATTAGTTTGTAAATAAAAAGTTTGTAAATATAACATTCTCCATCATTTATTGATAATGGGATAAGAGAGATAAAAATATATAATTGTTAAATAAGTGATCATGATTAAATAACATGACAATGTGACTATTTTTTCATAAGAGAATCCAAATCCATACTTATGTTGTTTAATAGACAGTGGGTGATATTAATAATCTCTAAGAGGTTTGAACCCGTGTAGAAGACATATGAAATTATAAATCATGAACACAGTGATATAGTAAGAACAAAGAACAAACTTACAGTATATCAATAATACAGAAGAAGAATGAATGAAGTATGGAGAATGGTGGAAGTAATCCGAACTCACAGAAAGTGTCTCCAAAGCTGCAGAGTAAAGAGAATGCAAAACCAGATTAAGGAAAAAATCCGGCAGAGTAACATTGCAGAAAATCAGATGAAATTTCTAAAGGGGTCAGGGTCTATATATAGACACTGACTGGTCACGATGAATCGTCGTGACTAACGGCTGTGAACGGGCATAACCAGTGACTGGTTCGGTTCAATATTGAATGAACGCGTCAGTTCAAACTGAAAAGTAAGAACCGATACGGTTCAAAATGTAAAGTATCGACGAAAAGAATCGAACTGATCTTCTCCGAGCTGAGCCGGACGGACGGGCGGACGGCGACAACAGCACGAGTGTGTGGTGGACCAAAGGCCACCTAGCTCCTCTCCCCTCCAAAAAAGTGTAGTGGCCCAAGGGACAATTTATGAGTGTGAGGTGAGAGCTTATATACCCTCTTACCTCTTATTAGTTGTTCAGTGAGAAACTCCTTAGATCCACACACCCATGGTAGTTAAAATCGAAATTTTACCTAAAATAGGAAGGAGGATACAAAATTGTAAAACGTAAAATTGTAACGTAAAAGAATCGTAAAAAAATCATAAAAACGTAAAAGCGTTTGGAATTTTGATGAAATCATTTTGATTAAAAAAAATTGTAAAATCGTAAAAGTGCATATTTAAATCGGAATTTTAACTACCATGCACACACTCCTCCAACTTCCCTATTTTCTTTTCTTCCTCAACCCACTTCTTATTTATAACCCATAGGATATTATTATATATTCCAACAACTTATACATATGGAAAATGTATGTCATTTTGATTAAAAAAAATTGTAAAATCGTAAAAGTGCATATTTAAATCGGAATTTAAACTACCATGCACACACCCCTTCAACTTCCCTTTTTTCTTTTCTTCCTCAACTTACTTCTTATTTATAATCCATAAGATATATTTATACATTCCAACAACTTATACATATGGAAAATGCATGTCTCCTTTAACGGTAAATAAAAAAATCCTTTCATTTGTGGATTTCACGCAAAGTTGAGTTTGTAAAAAGCTCGGCGCATATCCTGCAACATGAGAATAGTTGCTATATATATATAGAGGATAAGATTAATTTATATTAATGTAAGAATAATAGATCTTATACCAAATTTTACTCGCTGATTTCAGTATATTTACGGTTAAAATTTATTGAGTTATGTTAATTAATTAATATACCCAATAAATCTTATATATATATATATATATATGGAAAAGTATTTCTCCAGTCACTGGAGATAAAATTATCTCCAGTAAGCTCAAAACGACGTCGTTTAGGGATTATAAGATTAAAATATTATAATGATAAAGACTAATATAATCCTGCATTATATTAAAATTAAAAAAACACCTTGATTTTTGTCCCAAAACGACGTCATTTTGGGCTCACTAGAGATAACTTATCTCCATTGATTGAAGAAATCATTTACCTCTCTCTCTATATATATAGATAGATAGATATATAAATATAGGGATGTGCATGGGTCCAATTGAACCGGTTTTTTTTGAAAAATCGAACCGAATTGGTTTAAATGGTTCGGTTCGAAAGTGATTCGGTTCGGAAGTGGTTCGGTTCGGTGGAAAACGGTTAGGTACGGAACCGGTTCGGGTCGACCCTCTTTTGAAAATAAAAAAAATTAAAATTTTAAAAAATAAAGTTATAAAAATCAATTTGGTTCGGTTTGAAAACAGTTCGGTTCGTTTCAAAATGGTTCGGTTCTTAAACTGGTTCTAAAAACCGGTTCGGTTCATGAACTAGTTCTTTAAAAACCGGTTCGGTTCATGAACTGGTTTTTAAAAACTGGTTATTTTAAGGGGCGGTTCGGTTCATGGTTCAGTTCAGTTTTTTGGTTATTTTGCACACCCCTAGATAGATAGATAGAGAGAGAGAGAAGAAGATCAACTCACACCGATGTAATAATAATAAATTTTACACCAAATCTTAACCGTTAATTTTCAGTATAAAACTTGTTATTTTTATACCAGAATAAGAATAATTGCATATCTCTCTTCTCAATTGTGTGCGTAAAAAAATGTTGTTATATCATATAACATGGCATTTCATCTCTATATATATATATATATATATATATATATATATATATATATATATATATATATATATATATATATGGGTCCGTCGCTTCTCATGTGACTGCTGATGAGAAAAGTTGCAGCAAATTTTTAACACTAGGATACACGTGCGGATTCTATCAAGAAAAAAAAAAACCAGGATTCAGACGCGTATCCTGATAAAAGTAAGTGTTGCTGCACTTTTTCCCTTCTGCAGTCACATAAGAAGTACTTTCCCCTATATATATATATATATATATATATATATATATATATATATATATATATATATATATATATATATATCACTCGTCAAATTGGTTGGATTCATTTTTTTTTCTCAGTGGCAGCATAAACTTACACTAATATATAAACAAAAAAGTTTATACTAAATTTTAATTATTAATTTATTTACATCTATTAATTCACATATCTATTAAATTAAGGTCATTAAATATAAATTAAATTAACAATTAAGATTGAAATTATAATTTACGTAAAATTATCCAATTTCAATATGTATGTATACTACAAAGTAGTGATGTGCATGAGTCGAATTGATTTAATTTTTTGAAGAAATGAACCGAAATGGTTTAAACGGTTCGGTTCGGATTCGATTGAAAATAGTTCAGTTCAGATCGATTGGAAACCGGTTCAATTTGGTATGAAAATAGTTCGGGTCGAACCATTTCTGAAAAGAAAAGAAAAGAAATTAAAGTAATAAAGAGATAAAACGGTTTGGTTCGGTTCAGTTTGAAATCAATTTGGTTCGGTTCAAAAATGATTTGGTTCTTGAACTGGTTTTTAAAAACTGGTTTGATTCTTGAACTGACTTTTTAAAATCAGTTCGGTTTATGAATTGATTTTCAAAAACCACATATTTTAATAGCAATTTGATCCGGTTCACAGTTAAATTCAATTTTTTTATTCTTTTGCCCACCCTTTCTACAAAGTAATAGTCTTAGGATTCGGACACCTTCATAACACTAGAGATAAAGCTATCTTGAAGTTGCAATTGACCAATTATTGTTAAAAGTAATTAATGAATTTTACAATTTGCATTATAAATAATTATTGAATTTAAAAAACTACCTGAAAAAGTAATTAATAACATTATATATTATTAAAAATTAATTATTGAATTTAAAATATATAAAAACCCTTATTGATTTATATTAGTTTTAATCATTAAACTTTTGAAATATTAAAATTAAAATAATTCATATATGACCTAATAAAATATGTAATTTTTTAGAAACATTATAATATATATATATTATAAATTTTAAGAATACATACATTTTGTTATTAACTTAGATACTAATTTTAGTTAATTATTAAATTTTAAACTTATTAAATAAAGATAGAGATTATACTTACAATTTTTTTATAACCTCTTATAATTATTTTCTTTATTATTAGATTAAAATTAAATTAATAGTAAATAACAATAATTTGTAATAAGCGTAAACTGATTTTGTATAACCAACCCTTTTTTTATAGCTCTAGCGTAACTATTGCCTTTCTTGTGCTAATACTTGTTTAAAAAATATAGAGATAAGTTATTCTGCCTATCTTTGGCTATCCCTCCTAACAGTATTAGATTATAATCTCTTCCAACAGAGGAGATTTGCAGGATAAAATAAATCATTTTATTTCTTTTTTTCTCACTCTCTTGTACCGTTTCTCTCTCCTCCCCTTTTTTCTCTATTTACCACCAAGACAGAAAATAGAGAAACACATACCAATTGTTTTCTAGTTTTCTTATTCTAACTGATCCTTAATAATATGAATGCATAATACACGATATATGGAGAATTTAATTATATATTGAACATAATGAGACTTGTTTACCAAACACATCACTGCAAACTGCAAACTGCAAATTAGCCGTCCACAAATTATCTTTTATTAGAAACTATTATAATCATTTGCAAATTTTCCTTTTGATCCTATGTATTGATTCTCTGTCGAGTGAGTTCTACAATACTAGAGAGAAAGGGGAGGAGAGAGAGAGGGAGTGGGAGGAAGGAGAAAAAGAAGAAGATAAAAGAGTTTATTTTATCTCACAAATCTTTACCATTAGATGAGATTATAATCTAACGGTATTGAGAGAGGTAGGTAAATTAAGGTAGGCAGAAACAATAACCTATCCTTATAATAATATCTGTTTTGTAAAAATAATTTTAAAAATTATATAACTTTTTAGTTTTTAGAATCAAAGATAGAATTATTATTTGACTGTTTCCCAAAAAAAAAAAATTTGTTATTTGACTTTTAACTTTCAAAAAATTAAAAAACACACTCATTTCATTTAAGGATTTATTTTTTCTATAGATAACTTATCTATATTGAGCTCAAAACGACGTCATTTTAAGACGGAAATTAAGGTATTTTTGTAATTATAATTTATTTCAGGATTATAATAGTCTTTTTTATTATAATTTTTTAAATTTTTTTTTTTTTGATAACAATTTTTTAATTTTTCAACCCAAAATGACATTGTTTTGGGAACGAATGTAGATAAGTACATTCACTATAGAAATATTAAAGACTTTATTTAATATTAAACAAAATAGTTTTAGGAAACAAAAAAAAACATAACACAGTTAAACAGGACTAAGTTATCCAAAATTCTTTCCATTTGGTTGACATGTTTAGTGTAAGATCATCTTTTCTACTTAAACTAAGTTGTGTATTTTTAACTAATATTTTCATAAAACAATTCAAACTAATTACTTGGCTATTTAACTAAGCCATTGGTTAAACTGACCAACACTGGGTTTAACAATACTAAATTTTTGGAATAAATTACAATAATTAAATTTCAGGAGATAAATTATACACAGAATAAAGTTAAAGGATTTTTTTTTTTGGCCAAGATAATTTCTAGTGTGCTCAACTATCACTAATTTATAAATGGTCACAAGACATGCATGCATAGTCCTAAATCTTAAGTGAGCATATAAATTCCTCTACAAACAAAAACAATTTAAGCATGGGGAAGTTTTGGGTTTCTTCAAAGATTTATCAATTAATCAACTAATTCACTTTGAGTAGAGCAGGAACACAATAGCACCAAAAACTTTTCTGTAATTAATGCATAGTCCTTACTCCCATTTGCATTTAACCTTGTGAGTGTGCCTAAAGTCATATCTGAGCAATAATTTCCCTTCAAGTGTCCTCAAACAGAAACTCTCCACTAACACATAAAAACCAAACCTCTGCCATTCACCCTGGCTTCTTACCTCTTCTCTTACTCTTACAACCCTTTCTCTTCCATGACCATGAGTCCTTCCTCCTTCCTCTTGCACCCATTTCATATGCTCAATAATTGCTGAACTTAAGCCCACATTAACCCTTCTCTTATTATATGGATTATATGCTCTGAACCAAAAGAAACCATTAGAATCAACTCTTCCATTCTTTGTGGCTTCCATGCCTGAGACCAAAACCACCTCTCTTTCCACATTTACATTCACAACCACTACATCCCCTTCACTTTCATCACTGCCACAAGAGTAAATCTCTTCCCACTTTTGCTCAAGTGTCATGCTATAAAACATGGACTTCTTCATTTGGTGTTTAAGTCTAGTTCCTTCCCTTACAAATATAAATGGACAATACCATTTTCCTACAATCACAGGAGGTGAACGTTTTCTAGAGATAGGGAAATTAAAATCTGGTAACTGTTCTCTAAGAGGAGCATCAACACCAAGAGCTTCACTTAGTCTGCAAGATCTATATGAGCCTGATATTCTAACTCTCCATCCTTTTTTTCTTAGGAATGTTGGAGGAATGCCATCAGGAGCAATTGACTTAGCAAAAAATCCACCACTCTGGTGGCTATGAATCTTGAAAATTTGGTACAAGTCTTTTAGACTGAAAGGCTTTGGCTTTTTGTCATTCAAGATGTCACTGAAGCAGCAATTGATAATATCCCCTTCTCTTGAGCATTTGCATGCTTTCCTACAAAATCAGAACAATTCCAACATTGTGACTATTAAATACATATTAGAGCACATGCTATCTGACATTGTAAGATGATAAATTTTACTTGCACAAACTTTCCTCATAAAAAAATTGTACACAAACAAATGTTGTGGTTGCATTTGAGTTTGACATATAATCTAAAAAGTTCAAATGGGACTAGTTGAATTCATATATAGTCAAATCACAAGTGATTAAGAAAAGTTTTGTAACTAACTCTGCACCCCAAGATGCATGGATTTATTATTATCTCTAAACACAGGGTTCGTTTTGAGTTTGAAATGTGAATATTGCATAGCTTATACATAATGTCAAAAGCCACAACCAACTTTACTATTTGACCCTTATGAATGGTTTTATTATTATCTCTAAACACAAGGGCTATTTGGACTTGAGGGGTGAATAATGCATTCGATTTTTTATTAGTTTAATGGAGGCAATGAGTATCAAACTTTAGACCATTTGATTTGATAATGTGTCACGAATCAATTCCGCCAAAAAGTAAGAATTGGATGAAGGTAGATCAATAACTTTATTATATCTCGAACATATTTATATTGTATCTAAAACATAACTAGTTAGATAAGATAATAATAGCAAAAATGGTTAGCACAAAAGATTTAGAAAGAACCCTATAAGCACATACCCTTTGTTTCTGCCTTTTGCTCTGATGACATAGTAGCGATTGGAAGAGAGAGGCTGATCAGGCACAGGGAGAAACCAAACCTTGGTGTCTGAAGTTTGTTGATACTCTGATGCATGAGTTATTGAGAAGAATTTGTCTTGAGGGAAAGGTAGTTTCTTAACTTTCTTACGCCTACATAAACGCCAACAACACGTGTCTTCTGCTTCTGCTTCTTCATCTGTGATGACTAAATAACCTGAATATGGAGCATCTGGTGTTGGTATTTCAAGAGTACTTGGTGATCTTCTGTACATAGACAAAGGCCTAGTTACATACATCTTTTTATGTGTGTGTGTCAGTGTGTGTGTGTGTGTCTAAGAGCCACAACTCAAACTGAAACCAATGGGGGATTTATCAGTTTCAGTTACTTCTAAGTGAAGATAAATGGAAATGAGAAAGATTAAAGTAAAAGAACGGATAACGTCTCAATTATTAATTGGAGGGCATGCATTTTTTCATATACCAGAAAGGTTGAAACAAATTGGACTACTTTACTTTCATAATAATAGGGGTACTAAACGATTTAATTGGTAAATATTAAAGATAATTTATTAAAGCGGAAAGATAACGCAGCTTTACTTTCATTTATTGTCCACTTTCTTTTTTGTTGTGCTATTTTCTGCTATCTACGCAAAAATAAACAGATTGGCTTTTTGCATTGTCATCTAATACTATCTTGATATTATAAGTTTGATAATGTTCATAATTACATAAATTAAATCTATTAAATAATGCTAAAAAAATGTTATTTCCACACTACTGAGGAACGGAGATCATTTTGCCACGCCTAGCCAAAAAAATTACGAGACTGTCACGCCAACAGTAACTTTCCCAGAATGCCACGTGGGATAATTCGCTACACAGTGTAACGAATTATTTGCAAGTTTCGTTACACTGTGTAGCGAATTATGCCACGTCAGAAAGCACATCCAGCAAGAATAACACGTGTCAAACAGGACGTAATTCGCTACACTGTGTAGCAAATTATGTTCGCGGATGATTTTTTAACACGTGGCATACTTTCGCAGGAAAAAGTTGACGTGTCATAATTCGTTACTACTGGTAGCGTATTTGGTCTGCAATATGACCACGTGTCACAAAATTATTGGCCACGAAATTCGCTATCAGTGGTAACGAATTATGACACGTGACAGTCTGGTAAAAAATACTATTCGCGTGATATTTAGATAAATTTTTTGAAAAAATGTGACATTTTGGTAAGTGTTCCCACTATTGACACCACAATATTGCATAAATGCCTGTGTATACATTTGAAACTAAAATGCTTGAGAATTATTAGTCAGATATGAACTCAATAAGTTGTTTTCAATTATTCAGTTGAGGCCTTATACTCTTATAATATATATAGTGAAAGTAGCACCACACGTATTACCAAAAAGAAAAAGTAGTCCACTCTATTTAGTGATGCTTCAAGAAATTAGTGGACTGTGACGACTACTGATGTTTCTTATCTTCTTTCCAAATCAGCTTTTCCGCCCACTTTAATAATACCAGGATTTAGGAAGAATTATATACAAGAATCCTATGTCAGCTGATATTTATCATACAACCTCCTGTATTGTGTAATTATCTGGAATCTATGAAACTACTCTAGCCTGTGATAGCGTTTTCTAAAGTTATAAGAAATAATATATAAATCACTCCCCATTGAGTTCCGATGAACAAGAATAGGGGTGAAGGTAATTTTTTTATCCAGCTTTACTTTTACATATTTGCAGAAAAGCTTTATTTTTATAATTTGAGGCCTGCACAGATTAACAGGTCAGACTAAGTCAAATCTATTTTTTTTTTACACAAATTTAATTTATTTAAGCCAAACCTATGAGTACCCAAGCTTTTAAACATCTAGTAATCAATTTTACTTGAGGGTTTGGATTTTTAAAAGTTGAAATAATCTTTGAACGAGGTCCATAGAGCCCAACCACCCAATATCCCCCAAACTTATTAGCTGACTAATATATTGATGATACATTTTCTGAACTTTAATATAACAAGAATTACAATATATATTATTTCCAAAAAAAGAAAAAGAAGTACAATATATAAATCATTAACCCTTATAATATTGGGTAATATTATATTAGGGCTTTATATGTATAATGTTACGCGATTAAAAAACAAATTTTTTACAGAGATAATAAATTGGTAGGGTCCATCAGTTAATTTTACTTTCTCCTCAATCCACTTTCTCTCTATTTATTATTGTCTCGGCTAGAAACTTTTCTTTTATCCTATAACATTATTGTTGTATTTTCCATTATATTAATATAAAATCATTAATGTGTTGATTGGGTTGAAATAATTATATTACGTGATGTCAAAGCTTTTAGGACATATTATTCATATTTCAAGTCCAATAACTCTAAGTGAGTGAGTATGTTAAAAATATCAATATAAATCCTATTCACTTAAAAAGACTATTTTTTTTTCTCATATACATCACAAAAATCAATCATCACTGTTCATTTCTCCATCCCTCTTATATCCCTTTTATTAATCAGTATCAATGATGATAATTTCCATATGTAAGATATGTGCTCTTAAAGTATGTTCACCAAATATTTTCCTATAATACTATATGGCAACCTATAGGCATCTTGACCTGACTTTCAACTCACATTGAGGGAAAGATGATATCATGGTAGCTTCATTCCGTCAAGGACAACGCAAAATATGCATATGGTGATTTCTAAATCTTAAACTAGCCTTATCTTAGAATGTTTAATTAAGTTTGTAATTCTTACAATTTCATTTTGAATCAATTTAAGATCTTGTTTTTTTTTTAACTAATTCATTTTGATTCATCAACTTATTAATTACATATTCTTAATTCAATTCTCTATTCGGTGGTGTTTGATTGGGAGTTTTTTAGCGGATATCTATCTTTCTCAAGTATGGCTTTTAGAAACATCATGTTTGTTTCAACGTTTTTCACCAAAAACTCATATATCCAATTTGTCTGGATTTATGAGAAACATAGATATCCGCACTGTTTAGAAACCCAATTTGAAGGTGAGATTTTTTGAAAAACCGGTTATCTGGCTTTTAATGCACTGTTGATTTCATAAAGTTACATAATTTTCCCAGTAAAATTTTTCTCCACCAAACAACTTTTTTTTACATTTTTTTATCTATCTCACTTTATCTATCTTTCCAATTATTTCTCTATCTATTATATTTTCCTACTATTCCAAAAAAATTTCCTCAACCAAACGCCCCTTCAAGTTATTTTGTTAACTAGTGACGTACAATACTGTTGTTGATGTAACGATGTGATTGTAAAAAAAATAAAAATAAAGAAGGGTCATTCTACTGTGACACCCCATAATTTAACAAAACAATTTAGCTTAAGATTTATCATAATTAACATTAGGTGTAATTCACTAGTAAGGGTTAAATGCGGTAATAAACAAGTTAGGTACTTAAAGGAAAGGGCAAAAAAAATTTAAATATTGTTTTTTTAATAAATAATTACGTAAACGTAATCGTTTTAAAATTATTTACACAAGTATAACAATCAAATATGTCTACATGGGACGTGACCTAACAAAATGAGACATACCCATGTGGGACGTGACCTAAAAGAAAAACACGTTTACATGAGACATGACCAGGAGAGAGACACGCCCAACAAAGACGTAACTTCCCTCGTCGAAATTTCACACCTTTAGCTTTCAATTTATAAAACCCAAAAGTTTGGGACTAAAGGGCAATAACTGCTCTTTATAAGTTTCCAAATTTGTAAGTTGCATGAAGGGAGAAGGAACACAGTCAAGTCAGCAGTATTTCCGTCTCCAACACCCAAACAAAAAAGGGGTAGGCAATAAGCCAAGGAAGTAGAAATTCAGAGTTTCAAACAAGAAAGCTGAAGAACACGAAACAATACAGAGAAACTGACAAATACTTACTCAATACTAATAACCAAAAATGCTAAAGCTTTATAGAAGGGTAATCTTTCGCAGTTCCTTGTGTTTATCTTATCTTTTTTTTTTTATTAAAAAATCCAAACTTTTTATGAATCAGTAGAAAAAAGATAAACCTTTAATAAGAAAAAATCAAAACTTTCTCCCAACAGTCCAAACGCGTAAGGAATATTTCCCACAAGGATCAAGTTTCATGAATCAGTAGAAAATGATGAACTTTAATTGAAACTTTCCCTCTCAATAGTCCAACCACTGAAGGATTATTTCACACAAGGATCCGAGTGTCAGAACCAAAAACTGAACAAAATATAGTGCAAAGCCAAATAATTGAATAACACAGAACATTGAAATTTCGACCAGGGAGGTTAAGCCCCTCTTGGGCGTGTCTCTTTTCTGGTCATGTCCCATGTGAGCGGTCTCTCTCTTAGGTCACGCTTCATGTGAGCGTCTCTCTCTCTTCACTGGGTCACGCCCGTTGGGCGTGTCTCTCTCCTGGTCACGCCCTATGTAGACGTGTCTCTCTTAAGTCACACCCTACATAAGCGTGTCACTCTTCACTGGATCACATGTAGGTGTATTTGACTGCTATACCTGTGTAAATAATTTCAAAACGACTATATTTGCATAATTATTTATTAAAAAAAGTAATATTTAAATTTTTTTACCTAAAGGAAAGACCAAAGTTTAAATTTTCTTCGTAAGATTTCCAAATTGCAATAATTTAGGGTTATTTTCATAATAAAACGCATAGACAGGTCTAAGATAAAATAAAAGATGTAATTAATAACTAAATTAATTTTTTTAAGGCTTCCATAAGTTTTTTTTTTATAAAATTAAAAATTAAACACGTAACCTAATACAACTTATTCAAACTCCTCACCACAATAAGATTTATTTTTGATAATTTCTACCTACGTAGATTTTGGTTTCTATTTATGTATATTTTTTTGAGATATGGTATTATGTCTATCTTCTTTCATATATATTTTACATATTCTTTTTCAACACAATTAGATCATGATCTTAAGAATAGAGAGAAAGGACAAATGTCGGTTAAGATTATGGTCTATTAGAAATGAATAGACGTGAAAAAAATAGACATAATATCCTATCTTATCTCATTTTTTAAATATCAGTCACCATATTTTTATCATTTAAATTCTCATATTTTTTATTTTTTATTTTATAACAATTCTCATATTTTTTTAGTTACTTTAATTTTTGTTTATAATTTTTACTTATCAAAATGTTAGTATTTTATAAATATTAATTTTTGTAATTTTAATTTATTGAGATATCAATCCTTACAAAAATTAAAACTCATAAATAAAAATTCAAATATTATTGAAACTCATATTCCAA